AGATGTGCCCATCAGTGATGCAGGAAAGAAAGCTAAGGTGGCTCCCAGTTCAAAAACTCCCAAAAAGAAGAAAAATTCAAAAAAAGCCCCTGGGTTAAATCTCCTAAAAATGTTCGAAAACACTCATTGGTGAAGGTAAGAATTTAGTAATTTCTTCACTACTTATTTCACTTGTTTTAGATGTTAAAAATCTACATAATTTGTGTTTTTTTTGCTTTGTAGATTTTTGTAAAAATGTTGTATATAAACTGCAAATGTATCTATGTTTTTAATCAATGAATTAATGGACAATTATTTGTCTTAATTTTGAAGATTAATTGTAGCTTTTGTTGATCTGTTTAACATTGTGTTATATTGTATATGTTTGAAGTTATTTTGTAGATAAAATACAAATGTATCAGTGCTTTGTAATTACTATATTAATGTTAGATTACATTGTTGAATTTTGCAGAATGGACATTTTTTGCATCCCATAATGTTGATTATGGGTGCTTAGATTCCAGACATTATGTGACCCTAGCATTCCTAGCCAAATAAAGCGCTTTTGTCTCCAAATGGTTTGAAGCTGTTCAAGAAGACATGCTTTGGTTATTTTCTGTCATTTCCAAATTTATGCATGCAGAATCAAGCTATTCATCTTCTTATGAAGTATGAATTGAAATCATCCGATGCTTCCTATTTTTCAGCTGAGTTAAAAGGTGAGAGGTTAAATTTTGGATTGAGAGAGTTTGCAGTAATAACTGGTCTTAGATGTCATACTGAGGTGACAGACTTTGGTTACATATGTCAGTAAGATAATGAGCAGTTACTTTCTAAACAAGGTAAAAGTGGAGAAGACATACCTAAAACAGATAGTAACCAACAAAAGCTGGGTCAATGACAAGGATGCAGTAAAGTTATGTATTCTATATCTCATACAATTCTTCATTTGTCCTTCAGAGAGAGACCATATTGGGTTGGTAGATCATTTTAGGTTTTATTTGGTGGAATCCGGTAAGTACGAGTCATTTCCATGGGGTATTCAGTCTTACAGACAGTTGATTGAATCAGTTAGGCACAGGCTAAATCCTTTCGTTCATTCTTATCTCATTCGAGGATTCCCCCTAGCCATGCAAGTATGGTTGTATGAGTGTTGCTCCTCCGTCAACATTGATATAGCTACAAAGATTTCTAATTCAATCCCTCGCATACTAAACTGGTCAGCTACTAAGGGTCAGATTTTGTTAGCTGTAATTGAAGACAAAGTGATCAAGCCTGAATGGATGAAGGTAAATGGTCTTTATTTATGATAATACAATTTAACTACAAAATATCTACAATTTATATACATACTCTGCCTTAAACAAGCTAATTTATTTTTTTTCATCATTCAGTTCACCAACATAAATGAATCACTGAAGAGCTTTCAGTAATGTCTTTGCCTGATAAAGTTGAGTACACAATTGAAGAGGTTGAACATGTTTCTGAGAATCCAAAAGTTGATGCTCCTCCATTGGAACCCAAAGAATCAATTGGAAAAGAGGAAAAGGAGTCTATTCTTCGTAAAATAAGAAAGTTAAAAAGAGGTTTTGAGAAGGTAACATGTAGTCCTAAAAAGCATTGTGATGTATATATAATAGTGTATCTGTTTTTTTAATGTATTTTAAGACATATTTCTGAAGTTAACTATGTATTTTTTTAATTATGTAGGTCGATGAAAAGCTTGAAAAGTTTTGGAAAGATGTATTTGAAGAACTAGGTAGCCTTCGAGACCTAATAAAGGATTCAGTCAAGACTGTTTTGCAGCTGATAAACAGTCCAAATGATCAAGTTGATGCAAAGGTAACATTTGAATTTTAATCATATTAAAATCACTATTTATGTCACCTCTAAAATATATATCCTAACTAATATAAAACTTACAGTTTGCTGGGAGTTCAACAAAAAATACTGACCAACCAAAAGACAAGAACAATCAGCAATTTCAGTTCAATAGTGGTAAACCAGTGCAGGTCAGCCCCAGCAAAATAGGTATCTACAATATATCTCCAGTATATCTACATTTCTCTATAAAATATCTACAAAATAACTACAAATTATATACAACATAACTACAATTTGTCTACATTATATATACACAATATATATTAAATCCAGCTTATTGGCACATCTATACAGATTTATGTAGATATTGTGACATACCTTCATATCTTCATAAATTGTCAAGCCAATACTATCCAGTATGATTTAACATTTTTAATGAAAAAAACAGAACATGTTGAATGTGCACTTGGTGAAGAAAATCATCCAGCACGTGTTGAATTATATGCACATTTTGAAGGGGCAGTTGATGAAGAGAATGCAGGTATGAAATTGTTTTCAGAGATATTTTCTTTTGGTTTCAATTTTTACAATTCTATTAAGTTATATATACATGGTGTTACAGAGAGGGAAGATATGCATGCACAATCTCCAATTCACGGAGTGACAGTAGCAGCTCAAAGCGAACAGCAGAATCCGAAAGATGACAATGTAGGTGAAGAGGCAGAGTATGTGAATGTATGTGATTCAGAAGAATCCGGAGGTGAGAATAAGGAGGTTACGCTTGATGATTTCGAGCTGCCTGATAACTTCTCCCAATTGCTTAAGTTCGGCGAGCCTATACAAGATGAAACAACACTCGTGGAGCAAGCTAGAACAAGGCAGCCGGGAAAGCATGCCCGATCACCATTATTCTCTTTATACAGTTCTGGTGGCAGCACCTCGGTTGGACCTCAAATTTTTCACCTCAAGCACCCATTTACTAGTGTTATTGGTCAAAATATAGACGTTGAGTTGTTGGATCAATTCCACAAGTGGTTATACCACGGTACCGACACAGGTTAGGAGGTTAGGTTGCACAATTTGACACTTTTATTCCAGTATTCATCTTTACACATCCACTTCATTCAACAATTTTATTTTAATTTCTATTTGTTTATATAGGAGGAAGGCTCCGTATTCTATAAAGGACAACCAAATTAAGCCATGGTTGGATCTTGGAGTTGAAAAGGCTGACAAGAAGGAGTGGTTATTTTCCTTGGCACACCCAGGACAAGTCCTCAATGACTCGATAAGATTCAATGTATTTGATTTTGTAGATTTTTTGTAGATAATTTGTAGATAGTTTGTATTCTGAATGATAGATTCTTTGTATTCTGTTTGTGTATGAATTGTAGTTATTTTGTAGTTTTGTGTAGAATATTTGAAGATAATTTGTAGAATAAATGCAATCTGTTTTTGTTGCAGCACATTAATGTTATAATGTATTACTTGAGAAAAAGAGGCAAGTATGGCCCCCATAACAAGACCAGGTTTACTACAACAGATTTTGTGTTCAAGACTAGGATTGATCAGATTTATGAAAAGTTCCAAAATTCCCCTCAAGAAAAGAAGTTTTCTGTTGTCAAACCACATGACATTGTAGCAGAATATATATTGGGGTATAGACTACTCGCAAATATTGCATGGGATGAAGTTGATTATGTCATCATGTCCGTCAACATTGTAGAAAAATTCCACTGGGTGTTGGTTGTTTTTGACATTGCAGAAAGGTGTCTTTATGCATATGATTCCATGGTCTCTTCACACAATCACCCTATTGTTGAATCTTGTGTCGACAAGTTTTCTATTATTATCCCTTTGTATTTGTCATACACCGGATTTTATGGGAAGCGTAAAGACATCAACTTCAAGAATACAAAAGCATACATCGAGAAACCTGTTACCGACCCTCTTAACATTCAGTGGATCGCCGGAGAGATACCACAACAAAAAGAACGATCACTGTAACAAAAATCTTCTTTCTTGCTAAACATTTAACCCTTTTATTTCTGATGGTTTGGTAAATATTGACATTTTTTTATCTTTTGCAGCGATTGTGGTGTATTTATTGCTGCCTTTGCAGAGTATGTTAGTATTGGAGAATTATCAATTCTGCCAGAAGACCTTTCTGATATTGACCAACACCGTAGACGCTATGGAGAGCTACTTTGGGACTATTCTAGAAAGAAGCAGGAGCATGGGGAAATTAGTGATAGTGAGGTGATAGGCAAATTGGCAAGGCGGAAAGGTGCACCAGCTTTGAATGAGAAAACACGAGTCCAGAGGAAGAAGTAGTTGTAATATTTTGTATGGAACATATAGTACAATTGTTTAGTTTATGCTAGTTTATAAGAAAGATGGTAGACAAGTTTTTGAACAATTTATTCTGTTTTAATTGTAGCAGACTTGCGCTACAATTATAGTAGCCTTTGTTTCTTTTTTCTTATCTAATATTATTGTTCAAATGGAAACATTATGTTGGGTTTATATTCACTTGTTGAATCTTTACAGTACTTGATCTTCATTATTTTTAGCATATATATCCTTTCCAACAGAATTTTTATTCAGTTATTCTGTCAACGAAAAAATATGTAGTTATTTTGTTGATTTTTTGTAGATAATGTGTAAAAATCAGTAACTAAACATTTTGTCGCTTTTAAATTCAATTTGTTGAATGTATAAAGTACCTCATCTACATTATTTTCACCATATAGGTTGTTCCTACCTGAAGTTTAATCTAGCTATTATGTCAGCTACAGATATTGTAGATTTTTTGTAGTTATATTTGTATATAATTTGTAGATTATATTTAACAGTGTGTTTTGTTTCTTTTATATTCATTTTTTGAATGTAAACAATACTTCATCTACAATATTTTAAGTTTTTAACTACTTTCCTACTGATTTATAATGTATATACTCTGTAAATTCCAGATAATGTATTTTTGTAGTTTTATTGTAGATAAACTGCAAAAACACATTAACAACTATGTAAAGGATTCCATAAACAAATCAATCTATGAAAGTATTGTCTCAATACAGAAAAATCCTAACTAACTACATTATGATCTTAAAAAACACCAACAATTACACATCAAAATCTGTTATCCAGAACTAACCAACATATTTTATGAAATATTCTGTTAACTACATAAAATTTTATTTCTTTTTGGGTGCATTCTTGCAAGATCTTTTGTTATGCCCTTCTCCTCCGCAGTTGTCGCATGAAACTTTGTACTTCTTTGAATTTATTTCATCATATGTTTTGTATCTTTCTTTTTGAGGTCTTCCTGGTTGCCTTTTCCCTCCTTTAGGTGGATTTACTACTTCTTCGGTTATATGTTGTGGCACATTCCATTTGCTTTTATCAGGCAAGGGATTAACTGGTATTTCATACGTACGCAAGAGGTTCGCCCTTGTGTAACAAGGAGAACAATATTGTTCAAAAGACTCATCCCTGTGTCTTAAAGCAGCCAAAGCATGTGGACAAGGTAGTTCATCAAGCTGGAATTGCCCACAACTACATTTCTTGTTTTCAAGATAAATAATATAGCGCCTCACACCATCTAGTACTGTATGGATGTAGTCTGTTGAAGCCCTCACCTACGAGTACATTACAAACAAAAAAACAATTCATATACGGTTAAAATCAAACTATATACAAAATATCTACAAAATATCTACATTTGTCCTGATTATGAATTTGATTCAATAAATAATCAGATCTTACTCTAAGCTTGTGCGACAATGTTCTGTTGTCATCCAACTCTTTGTTGAATTGTATCCAAGGTATGTGAATGTACCCTTTGCTTTCAATAACTTTTCTTTAGTCCAACGTTCAAGAAGGGTCCTTATATACTCTAATAGTTCTACTATCGGCAGCTCTCTTGCATATTTTGTTACAGCATTCAACGACTCTGCAATGTTTGATGTCATAGTCCAAGTTCTGTTCACCGTAGCATGTACTCGGGACCATCTATGATAGCCAATATCGTATAAGTATGCTTTAACACGGGGGTCAATCTCCTCAATCTTTGACATCCTTTCATTAAATTCATCAAGTGTGTATGACCGTGTCGTGGCAAAGTATAATTCACTTAACTTAAGATGTCCCTTCTTGAACTTTGCCCATATATTTGTCCAAATATGCCACATGCAAGAATAATATGGCATGCTGGGATAAACAATAGATGTTGCCTTCAAGATACTCTCATTCTGATCCGAAACAACACACATATTTGGTCTTTCACCATACGCGAGTTTGAATTGCTCAAAAAACCACTTCCATGATGTGTCATTCTCTGAATCAACAACAGCATATGACAATGGTAATATGGTACCTACATTATGTGGCAAGAAGCAATTAATTGGCTGCGGAAGAAGACATATATACACAAACTACAACTATTCTACAAAATATCTACAATATATCTACAATTCATCTGCAAGTACTACAAAAAAAATACAAGCTACAATAAAACTTCAGTACCTGCTGCATCCATTGTACTGGCTGTTAGCATTATTCCCCTGTATGCTGACTTTAAAAATGTCCCATCAACTACTTCAACTGGGCTACAATATTCCCAACAACTGATTGACGCACAAATCGCAACAAATACATACAAGAAGCAGTCATCGTCTGTCTTCTTCAATTTAACTACAGACCCCGGATAAGTCTTCTCTAGATTATACAAATAACTAGGCAATTTGCTGTAGGAGTCAGCAAGATGACCTCTCATAAACTGTAAAGCCTTTTCCTTTGCTCTCTAGGCTTGCATGTAGGTTAGATTCACGCCGTGTTCAGACAACATGTCAAATTTAATGTCTTTTGGGGTGTAAATTGTCTTAGGATCAGAATATTTTGGAATAACCATGCTACAACTACCATGGCAGTAGGTTTGCGTTGTATGAATGTATTGTCCATTAAAGAGCATGTGTGCTGTCTGTCGAAATTTCTGACCTTGAACATTGCAGAATCATTTATGCTAGTTGCCTTGAAGTGTCATGTACAGTTTTCACCAACACATATCAGCCAGTAGCTATAAAATAAATACATTTTACACAATGGGTTAAAATTTAGATTTAAAAAAAAACTGTTTTAGCTTAAAAGATCACATTATACAATCTATATACAATATAACTACAATTCTGTTAAACATTATCACAAGGAAAAACTGAATAAGTAAAAATTACAAATAAACTACAAAATTAAAAAAAAAATCTTTGACTATTCATATGTTCATACCTTCTAGAACTAGATCTTTTAACCCTGAATTGAAACTTGTGCATGACAGAATAGTGCTTCATTGCAGTTGCAATTGTTTCCTTGTCTTGGTATACTTGTCCTACTTCAATAGAACTTGGTGTACTATCAGTTATTATTATACTTTCATATTCCTCTATAACGGGAGATGTTGGTATATCAATTAAATTTATTATTCCAGACGAACCTGCATGAAAATAAAAATAATTATTGTTATCACCTTTTTGTAGAAATTTTGTAGAAAGGTTGAAATTCAGTATTTCATATTAATTTTTCAACTTTTTTGTAGTTTTATTGTAGAATAAATGTAGAAATTTTATAGATATTACAGAAATCCATGTTGAATAATATATATGTAGTTAATTGTAGTTATAATGTATATAAAGTGTAGTTTATTGACATTTAACCAGAATTTCATAGAAAAAATAACATCATACACCTGCAACTGTGTTCTCATTGGTGATACTGAATTCCATATTGAAATCGCGAACAGTAATACATAGCGGATATGATCCTAAGTTTTTATTTTCCTTTTTCGTCTCCATGTATACACGAACACCATCGTTCCTAATTTCCATTGGAGGACAATGCTCGTTGACAATGTATTTGATTTCTATAATTTTTTCGGATGTATCAATCATTAATTGTTGTGCTATTGTAGAAATCAACAGACTATAACTCGCATCCTCATCGACTACAATGCCATCGACCTCAAATTCTCTAAATCTCCCATAGCTATCCCAATTCCCATTCAGTTGTTTGCATAATTGGTACTTTCGCCATAATTACTTTTGTTGCAGAAGAATTGTAGAAGATTTTGTCGATTTTGAATTGTGAAATCAGAGAAAATGTTGAAACAGAGTGTATCCCAAAAACAAAGTACGCAAATTTTGTAACGAAGTCGACGATAGTTATTACTGTGCGTGATTTGCATTGGAAAAGATCTGGAAAATATTTAATTCCCCTTTTTTGCGCGACTAAATAAGGAATCATAAAGCTACCTTGATTCCTTATTTAATGCATTGTATATATTATGTAGAAATACTATTAGCATGAATGGTAATATGCAAACTATGAACATATTTGGTAATATAGTTTCATATATGGTATATATACGAAAATTTTCCTTAAATAAATAAGTCTTAATCCATTGGGCTAGCCCATTGGATTGGGCTACAAGTGATGAGCCCACTTCATTAAGCCCAAGATGACATCTTTCAAGTCAAACGGAAGAGCCAATAGGAGCATGTCACGTGTCAAAATGACAAGGCATGCCTAGTCAAATTAAAAGGCCAATGAAATCGCGCCGCATGTGCAAGTGACATGTTCTGGCCAATCAAATGCGGCCATGTCTCGCTTCAATCTGATTGGTCGAAAAGAGTTTGTTCTTATCATAATTCGTCCATTCCACAACTATAAGTAGGGGTCTTCATAACCCAGAAAAGACACCAGAAGTTATAACAAGAAGCAAGAGAGAGCTCGTGGATCAAACACTGCAAATTCCTCCACAAGTTTCAAGCTTCAAGCTCAAGAACGAAGAACAAATCAAGTTCAAGCTCAAAAACGAAGAACAAATCAAGATTCAAGAAGTACGGGTTCAAATCAAAGTTCGTGCTAGTTGAATTCAAGATCATCGTTCGTGACAAAAATATAGATTCAAGATCAAGCTCAAAAGCCCTTGAATTTATTTACTATTGAAAAGAAGAATCAGAGGATTCATAGAGATTGTACACTCAAATTATTTGAAATCAAATACTACGATTGTTGCGATATTTTTCGGTCTTGATTTTATTTTCTCGACGCAATTTTATTGTCTACATCATCATCTAATTAAAAATATTTCGTGCAACTGAAAAAATATATGATGATAATTGAAAATCACTCAATCTCAACAGCTAATACCCGATAAATTAGGGGTTGTTTTTTTCTTCATTTCAACAATTATTTCATATATATTCAATTATCAATTTCTGGAAAAAAGAAGATCATTTCTATTAATATTAGTTTTAGAACTAAAGGGTCAAATAAAACAACTCATGAGTCCTAAGAAAAACAACTTAATTGTTCACTCCATCATCAGCAAGTAACTCTTCCAAAGGAACAGAAGGAATTAACATATAATCATCAATAAAAATATATATTTTGTACATATTCTCATTATGGTAGAGATATTCTAAACTTCCGATTATGGTTTTCTTTGTACTTTGAGTCAGTGGCGGAGCCAGAGTTTTTACTAAAACGTTAAAATTTAGATAAATAAATATACAAAGAAGTTAAGGGAATTTAACATACATAAAATTTGTTTCGATTCATTTCCCCTGCCGCTGCCTGAACATGATTCACCATAACAACAACAACATACCCAATATTATCTCACACCGTAGGGTCTGGGGGAGGATAGTGTGTACGCAGACCTTACCCCTACCTTGTGAGAATAGAGAGGTTGTTTCCAATAGACCCTTGGCTCAGGAAAGCATAAGCACCACATTAATGAAAATATAGACAAGAAGAGACAATACCAAGAAGCCATATAAAAGCAGAATAAAAACAGCAAGATAGTAAGGTGATCAACAGTGAAAGAAAACAACGGTTAGTCATAAAAACCTATTATCAACAGAAAGCGAGACTGCGTGCCAATACTACTGTTATGAACACTCTAGAGTACCAACTCTAATACACTAATCATCGACCTCCATACCTTCCTATCAAGGGTTATGTCCTCGGTCAGCTGAAGCTACAAGCACAACTAGATCAATATTGCTTTATCGAAAACTTGTATTGTTCCTTCAGTTCCAGTTTATGTAGCATCATTTCATTTTAATTGGTTTAAAAAAAGACAGCTTTTTAATTTAACTATTATTTAACTTAAACTTCTCATTTTACTTTTAATAATAAGTTTTTATAACCATATAAATATTATGGCATGCTTGGAATTTAAAAAGTTAGTATCATACTTACATATCTTCACATCAAACTCATGATGCAATGAGAGTAGAAACAATTTTTTTCTTCTTTTTCTAAGATGAACTAAAAACACTACAAGCAATTATGCAAAATGTTAAAGGGATAAAAAACACCAAACTATTAATCAAGAGTACTAAAAACAAAGCACAGACCTACAAACAGAAAAACAGAACTAAAACTTCCCCAACAACTTCTTCATCGTCTGCGTACACACTACCGTCCCAGACCCTATTTGTGGGATTTTACTGAGTTATTGTTGTTGTAAATACTATCCGAAATGGCTCTCTAGGCTCAAGAACTCGTTCTGATTTGAAGAATCTGAAGTGGGATTCGAGGTCTTCTCATCATGATTCATCGCGTGCTGATTATGCTCTGATTTGCTGCTTAAGCTATCAGGATTAAAAAGAAGCCTGGAATCATCACTTTGACCAGTGAGCGCGCTGAAAATAGTCAATCCATTAGGCCATTTGATGTCATCGTTCTCGTGATGATTTTCCATCGTCTGAGCTTCAGACGAATGTGGAATTCCTCCAATCATAGCGGAATTTTGGAAGTTAGGATAGGCGTGAAGCGAAGTTGCTGAAGGAATTGGCCTTGATCCCCAGTTGAAAACGGGAGGAGGACGTATAGGCATATTGATCTGTTGCTTCAGAGGAAATGTGGACGAAGTTGAAGTGATTCGCGTTGAAGAAAAGAGCTGCGACAAATAATAGCCGGATTGGTAGCCTAGAGACTCAAATGTGTGCCTCATTCTCAACACGAAATGGAGATCTTCTGCTATCTGTAAAGGATGAAATATGTGAGTATAGAAATAAACAGATTGTGATTTACCTTTATGTGCAATTTTATTTACTTTCCAAGATTTTAAAGATCAAATAATTTCAGAAAGAAGCGAAGATACAATAACAAGCATGCCTCAGTCCCAAGCAAGTTAGATCGGTCAAATGAATCCTCACCGTTCATGTTTGCTCCCTTTATATAAAAGGGCAGCCTGGTGCACTAAGCTCCTGCTATTCGCGGGGTTCGGGAAAAGGCCGGACCATAAGGGTCTATTATACGCAGTCTTACCCTGCATTTTTGCAAGATGCTATTTTCACGGCTCGACCTGTGACCTCTTGATCACATGATAGCAACTTTACCAGTTACGCCAAGACTCCCCTTCTTGGTGTTGAGATACAAGAAAGCGGCATATTTAAAGCAGTAAGAAAACGGAGACTTACAATCTTGCAAGAACCTAGTTGAAGAAGGCCATGTCCAGCTTGAATTACAGCAATAGTCTGAGCAAAGTAGCAAATGAGTTAGGTGTAAGTATATAATAACATTAATTACACCTTATGTTGCTCGAATTTTTCAAAAATATTATCGGGTGCGTGTTGGATCCTTCAAAAGTAGTACACTATTTAAGAATCCGACAAGAGTACGACAGCATTATAAAGAGTCTGTACAACATAGAATTTACGCCTCAATCGCAAAAAAGTTAAGGATTAGCTATATGAATTCTTACTGTCTATGTCGCTTCGTTTCGGTCCGTCTCAATCCAAATGAGACGGAAAGCTAAGTATGTGTAGTAATAATTCAAATATAAAGACAAACAGGGCAATACAGGAAACAGATGAAAAAATTGTTTGATTCTGACCTGAATACCTGACTCGAACTGATCAGTCCACTCAGTAGGAAGCTGCAAAATTAGCAAATTATTTATTATAGACCAATAATTGGCAAATGGAGAACAACTTTTCTATACTATTTTAACCAAAATTTAATAGCATGAAATTTCTGTTTTTCAAGTTCTTTATACATGAATATATATATATACCGCATCAAATGAACTTTGCCAGTAGTTGGATACATTTGATTCGTTTTCTGTAGGCTCCTTGAAAACCCATTTATGACATTTATCAGATGCAACTTTTCCCATCAACCTGCAGAGCAAAATGGACCAATTAGAATAATTAATTAGTGCCAAAATTCTTGTCCTGCTTTACTAGTTCAATTATTACCGGATTTTTTTTTTTTATAACTATCTGGTATCTGAAACTCACTAGCTTGACTAATTCAGTTTTGCACGGCATAAAGCACATTCAAGAGGGAAGCGTTCCCAACCAGGTGTTTGTCGCTTCTAGGGAATCGAACCCAAGAAGTCAGGAGCCGGACTAATTCAGTTTCGCATTGTATAAAGCACATTTAAGAAGGAAGCATTCCCAACCAGAGATTTTTCCCTTCTCAAGGATCAAACCCGAGATGTCAGGCGCCGTACTAATTTAGTTTTGCACGGTATAAAGCACATTTAAGAGGGAAGTGCTCCCAACCAGGGTTTCTCCTTTCTCAGAGATCGAACCCAAGTCAGGAGCCTGACTAATTCAGTTTCGCACTGCATAAAGCACATTAAAGAGGGAAGCTATGTTGCTCGGACTCTCCGAAAATGTGGCCGGATACGCGTCGGATCCTCCAAAAATAGTGCATTTTTGAAGGATCTGACACGGGTGCGGCTATATTTTGGAGAGTCCGCGCAACATAGGAGGGAAGTGCTCCCAACCAGAAATTTCTCCCTTCTCAGGGATCGAACCTGAGACTTCAGGAGCCTTGACTAATTCATTTTCACATTGCATAAAAGCACATTTAAGAGGGAAGCGCTCCCAATAAGGGATTTCTCTTTTGTCAAGGATTGAACTCGAGACTTTAGGAGCCTGACTAATTCAGTTTTGCACCGCATAAAACACATTTAAGAGGGAAGCACTCCGAATAAGGGATTTCTCCCTTCTCGGGGATCGAACCCGATTTCGCACTTCAAAAGCACATATAAGAGTGAAGCGCTCCCAACCAGGGTTTCTCCTTTCTTAGGGATCGAGTCCAACACCTCGGCTCAGGAGTGAAGAAATCTCATTCATCCTATCATATCCCTCCAATTTTTAGACATGGAAGTGAGAGAATAGAGAGTTCAAATTCAATAATACTACTACCTACCAAGTACCCACCCTTCTCCATAATTATATAACTGAATGGACATTTTGCTGAAGGCTTTTCTCACAAGATCCTCTCCTTCTATTTGGTCCAAGCAATCTGATCCTCTACAGAAACCATCTTCCCACATCAACATCCTACACAAAGCATAACAAATCACAAACCATTCAAAGAGATAAAACAAACTAAAAAAATATGAAAAAACCACACAAACCATTAGTCATAAGCACATCATTTTCAATAAACTCAAGAAACAGCAAAGTGAATGACCTTATCTATTAAATCATGACTATACCCCGTTATTCTGATATTCAAATTCGATAGAGATTAAATTCACTATCCATTATGGTTTGATACATACAAATAATGAACGAGCCGACTTTACAGCAGGAAATGCAATTTTAGTAAAGGCTGATATACTCCAAATAAGTTGTGGTTGGCCATATACTAATCCGCATTGACCTTGTTTCCCATATAAATTCATCTCAGACCAACACCATACAAAATAAAAATAAAAAGTTTCTTCATATTTGATATTTTCTAATGGCATAAGAATCTCTAATAAGGTTAAAAGACTCTTAAAAAGCATAACGCCTAAAAATAAACGCATTAATATGACTAAAATATATTCCCAATTCGTTTTCTTTTCTACTACTCATCTAATGAAAAAAAAATATAAGTTTTTAACTCCACTTTGTTTTATCTTCATCTATTTCCTCTTTATGGGGTCAAGCAAGATATATAGTGAATTGCTGAATATGTATATATACTCACAAGCTACCATTGTCATCTCCAACTTTGCAACCATTACCACCTCGAACTCTCCTGCATTAAAAAGTAAGTAGATAATGAAGCAAGAATAAACAGTAGTAATAAGCTATATTGCGGAGCTCTTCAAAATGCTACTGCACCCGTATCGGATCCTCTAAAAATGCATTATGTTTGGAGAAACCGACACACGTCCGATAATATTTTCGGGGAGTCGAAGCAACATAGGTACTAATAAGCAGAGGCGCGGAGCTAGAGTGCCGGGTATTTATCTTAAAAATTTATTAATTTAGAACCAGTAACATCAAACACGATTAACCCGGAACCATAAACTTGAAAATCTAACTCCGCCTACTAATAAGTAGTGGATTAGTGGAGAAAGACAAGACATACGGGCGAGGACGAATGGTCCAGAAGACAGAGTAAGTCCAGTCTGAGTTAAGACAGACATTTCTAAGAGCCTCATGTAATGCCATCATCCCTACTGCTTCTTTTCTTCTACTTTCTCCTGAGCCCACCATCTCTTTCTCTCTTTCTCGTTCTTTCTCTCCACTTGTGAAATATCAAGGGCCAAGATTCAAGAACCAGCTGTTTTTTACCTTGTTGAGAATGGTTTGATAAACACAAGACTGTCCTTTTTTATGTTCCACACTCTCAGTCAGCTGTCACTAGCTTTTACCTTTGACAAAGAACGAGGAGAAATCACTGTGTGTGTGTGTGTGAGCGTGCGTGTGGGAAAGGATGTTTTGGGGGTTGTTTGCTTTTTGTACATTATACATTTATACCAGGAAAAACGAGATACTGTGGGGACAGCCAACAGTGAAGTGCGCAAGCAAGAAAATTTCTTTTTCCAATATTTATTCCCTCCGGTCCATAATATGTGACCAATTTACTTTGGACTATAGGTGTTAATCGGGCCGGGCTGACCCGTTTCAATCCGGTTCAGCCCGTTACTATAGCTAAATGTGCGGGCTGGGACGGGTTGGTCGGGGGGCGGGTTTTGGACGAATATATTTTGGATAACGGTGCATCGTAGCCGCTAAGCCCGTTAACCCGTTAACGGGTTGTTAACAGGCTGCAGCCCGTTATCAGCCCGGTTACCATTACAAATTTTTTTTTTTTTTTATTATTTGGACCGTTGCCAACGGTCAAAATTTAATTAAAAAAAACAAAAGAAAATTACACTAGCCCGGCCCGCCCGAATCCGAACGGGCCCACAATAACCCGAAAATTCCCTACCCGCTACCAGCCCGTTATCCCAGCCCGCTAACCAACCCGGTCCGATAACGGAAGGGCTGGTTTTTTTTTGTTCAACCCGTCCCAGCCCGCCCGATAAACACCTCTACTTTGGACACACCCATTAAGGAAATACTAAATTCTAAACGGAAATAGTTAGTGCGACTAAACTACCCTTCATTAAATATTGCACCATAGTTATAGAAGCACTTACTTCTCTTTTCAAATGTGAGGAGTAAATGACTTTTTTAGAGATACGTATATAAGGGTAATTTTGAAAAAACAAATTGAATTTTTTCTTAATAAATGGACACTTATTTTGGACCAAAATAAAAAAGCAAATTGATCACTTATTGTGAAACGAAGTAAACAATACACTTATGACATACTAATAAGTTAAATATATGCCATATGTAAAAAAAGTTACTACTCCATTCGTTTGATTTTATATGAACTTATTATTATTTAGAGAGTCAAATAAATTAAATTTTCTTTGATCATATTTTTGCATATATATATTAAATTATTTATATTGCGACTTATAGCATATTTTATATAGTTTCTAAATATATAAATTTATTTTAAAAATATTAAAAATTCTATATTCGAGTTCACACAAAATATTAATCAGTTTGGCTCTCATACTCTGAAACAATTTACAATAAATCGAGGCGGAGGGAGTATCATTCTAAATTAGTATATTTTGGTGAGAGTTTCACATATTTTTTTTTTTAAAAGTCACCATGAGATTCTCAACAAGTCATTAAAGTTAGTGAGTGATTCTAAAATCAAGTAGTTTCAAAAAGAGAAAGGTATGATTCCTTTTGGCGCAAATTCAAAAAAGAAAGTTGTTGCATAAAATAAGATAGATGGAGTTACTAGCATACAATAAATTTTCATATTATAGTAAGTATATATTTATACTACAGTTTTATGGCTTCTCTACAATCATATTTCTTTCTCAAAATTATTGTGATTATGCTTTCTTTGAATCGAGAGTCCACCGGAAATAGCTCTTTACTTTCACAAGGTAAAGGTAAAATTTACGTAAACATTATCCATCTCAAACCCTACTAGTGATATTACACTGGGTACGTTATTGTTATTATTATATTTATATCATGATTAGTAGTAACCCCAAAAAGAGTGACAGAATTTTGGTACTATAAATTGTATATACTAGAAGTTCAAAGATGCCAAACTTTTTTTTTTTGGTTTCCCATCCGGTGTTCGCTACTTGTATTGGAGCCCGACTATATCCGAATTTGCGCCGCGTAGAGCCCCATTCGGGGGGAAGCGCTCCCTACCAAGAATTTTTTCATACCCTCAAACTCGAGAAGATGCCAAACTTTGGTTTCGGGGGAAGGAGAAAAGTTGGGGATTGGGGTTGAGCACATGACTATGTTTTGTGCAAGGATGTGTAACTCAAAAGTCAAAAGGCCAAATAACAAAAAGGAAATGTAATTGTGCTTCCACCCACTCCAAAGATTTACTATAAAAAATCACTTAAACATTAGTGAACCTCCTTTCCTTTGGAAAAAATGAAGGCATATATGTTCGGAACCCCTAAACTTGGCAACTGTTGTTTAGATTCCCTTAAATTTTATGTGGTCTTCAATACTTCCTGAATTTGGTAATTTCATAGCCTCGACTCTCTGGACGTTAATATTACAATTGGAAAAATAATGGTAGGGCTTTTATTATCCTTTCTTGTCAATCTTGTCCAATGCAAACAATCATTAATATTTGCATTATGGTAGACTATCTACATCATCCCCTCCCTCCTCCCCCTCCCTTCTTGAGATGCGGTCCTTCTCCGTCCCCTGCGTAAATGCGGAATACCTTGTGCATCGTACTGTCATTTTTGTCTAATCCTCTTTGGTACATCAATGCGTTATGACCAAGTAGTCCCCCTTTTTTCATTGGATATTCGGAACCTACTATTAATTTAGATTTGCACCGTCCAAGGCCGATTTAATGGGGAAGTGATTTTTACCAAGAATTACTCTATTCTTAGAGTACGAATCTAAAACATCAAGTTAGAGATGAAGGAAAATTAGATGAAGGAATCATATTTATCCTTTCACATTCCTTGATTTGAGTTCACTTGCTATAACTTTAATAAATATGTTTATCCAATATCAATGATGTCGAGAATATATCAAACATAGCCTCTTTACCTTCACAGTTTAGGATTAAGATTTGCACACACGCTACTTTTTTTAAACTCCACTTATCAAATTATACTGAATTTGGCGTTGTTTTCAATACCAATGCTAGCTTGTTATCTATACTAGTATATAGGGGTATACATAGGCCGGGTTGGTTCGGATTTTGTAATTACCAAACCAAACCAAGTGTGTCGGGTTATTAAATCTAAAAACCAAACCAAACCAATAAAACTCGGGTTTTTCAATCTCGGTTTTTCTCGGGTTTTTTCGGGTTCTTTTTTCCGGTAAAATCTACGCAGGACAACATATAACTTGTGCTCAAAAAATTTCTTTAATCCTAGTAAGATACAACTATATAAGGTATTTTTCAAGAAAATAATACAAAATATGAGATATGTCATGGCATTATTCTAAATAATTCAACAATAAAGACAATAACATTATGTAATATAAATATTGTTAATTAAAAAGCCATAGTAAAAATAAATATATTCAAAAAGTACTTAGTCATGCTAAAATAAGTAGACTAATAAGGGAGAAATTACATGATTAAACGCTAAAGAAAAATTAAAAATAGGTTATGCATTTTTATCTTAATTATTACAAAAAAAAAAATAGATATTCAATACATTGTCGTTCGTAGTATTGAATTGAATGTCTTTTGTTAGCATTAATATTGATTTGATTTTGGTTTGGGCTTTTGTTAGCGTTATTTAAGTTACTAATATTAAAGGCTATAAAACTTATTGGAACATTCAAAAGTTCTAAGTCCAACCTTGAAATAATACCTTAAAAGATAAAATTATGAAAAGAATATTTATAAATTACATCACAATAAGTATATTTATATATTAAATATATCTAAAATTTCCGTATATGTAATGTCGGGTTGGCTTGGTTTCAGTTTGATTTTCTTTAGTTAAAACCAAACCAAACCAATTATGGTCGGGGTTTTTTTTCCAACACCAAACCAAATCAAACCAAATCATAGTCGGATTTTTTTTCTCGAATTATCGGGTTGGTGCGGTTTGTCGGTTTCCTTTGTACACCCCTGCTAGTATATCCTAACTTGTGAACAACAACGTCTATTCACGAAATTAATTGATGTGCGTGCAAATAAGTGAACAACCGCCATAAAATGTTTAATATTAATATAAGATAAAGTTAAATGTTCAATCTTTTAAAGAAAGACAAGTTAGGAAATCGAGAAAATAATTAAAATGGCGTGAAGGACATCCAGGGGAATCTTTACCGGTCAAAAGCAAAAACTGGTGAGAACTCTGAGGGATTGGATTTAAAACTGTTATACATTTCATTGATTAATACTATAATAATTGTATCACTGTACGGCCGTAATTAAAGAAATACTTACTCTTATTTGGGCACTGATTTTCCAAATCGAGCGAGCTTTCTTTGCTGTTAAGCATACCCTAAACCTAAACGAGAAAACAAAAAAGATTTTGCGTGTATTTATATGAGTAAAGCATTTTTTAATTTTATACAAATATTATCTTGAAATGTCTTTGGTATTTTATTGGCGAGTTTAAAAGCTTTTTAGGCAAAATATTGAAAGATTAATAATAATGTTTGTAACAAATTTATACAGAAAAATAAAACTGCAATCACAAACAAATAATAAAAAAAGGATTTTAGTTTATTGATAAATATTGAAGGTTACAACTCTGTTTATCCCTTGATTCTTCCCTCATGTTTATTATCCGTAATTCGAGGGCCTTAACGGCGTATTTCTCGAACGTAGGAGACATGATATGCATCCCCTTGATGTATTTGATGATCATTAAGCATGTAGCTGCACTCCATTTGGATCTTGAATGTTGCTAAAACTTTGAGCAAGACATATTTAGAAAGTACAAGGGAATATGTAACCATTTTTATAGGAGTGACCTAGTGTTAGGGTAGAGTAGCATGCAAGTTAGGGTTTTGGTAGAGTAGCCTCCAAGCAACCCTAATAGACTCCTAGAATTTCAATAGTCGTCTTGTAGTATCTTGAATTTAGGATTTAGGCTAATCTGTTAAAATTTTGATGTCTACAAACGCCCCCTACTTCAAGGTTTGTCGGGGTGTAGGCTTGTCGAAACTTGAATATGAGACTTGAAGTACTTGATAATAATCACAACAGATAATTTTGAAACTTGTAATTTTCGATTTGCAAGAGGAAGAGATGAAGGGCAGAACTAGTGCCCCTGGGTGTGCCAATTTGTTTGCAATAAATTTGTGCAGAAAAATAAAACTGCAGTCACAAACAACCATAAAGAAGAAATGATTTTATTGATAAACATTGCGGGTTACAACTCTGTTTATCCCTTGATTCTTCCC